CCTGATTAATAGGATTGACTTAACCTTAAGAGGATTGAATTGATAAAGGTAATAAGATTACAGCTTATTTCAAAGACGAGCGCAGAGTCCAGCTGAGCTTTTCTGCGAAGGTAAAGACCAGCAGGGGCTGGCAGGGCCGGGGGTGAGAGGTGGACGAGAGTCAGGACAGGGCCACCCGCCAGCGCTGCCAAGGGACGGTGCTGAAACCAGGGACTCCAACCACCCATCCTCAACTCCTCACCAGCATGCAGCCCCTCCGAGGATCTGCACTGGACACTCCTCTGCAGTGCAAGGCTGTGATGTTCCCTCCTTTCAGCTCTGGAGCTCATCCTCGATGCTCCGGGCGTTTTCTAACTCTCCTCGGGAAAAGGAGGTGAAGGGGCAACGTGAGGGTTAGTGACAGGAGTCTGCCCATCACCTTGCTCTTGGCAATAACAAAACTTAAGTGAGGGATAAAACACACTGAGCAGCCACCACCTCCCCGTGGTGGGAGGCTTGGACACCACTCCTCACCCTGACAGCCAGAAAGAACACTGATCCCCGTGGCTGCCACTCACTGGCCCTCTCCATCCTTCCTGTTGTGTTGACCAGGGAGAGGGGCACTAACAGTGAGAGTGCTCATAAAACTGATTAAAAGCCTTACTAGCTCATCTATGGCTGCTGTAAAATACTCTCCAGGAGATAACCTCTTTGTGGGGGAAACGATAGGGCTGCTGCTGGTCTCACCCACAGCTGAAGGTGTGCAGCACCCTCGTGCCCTGAGCCTGCAGCCTTCCCAGTGCAGACACGGGGCTGACCGAGCCCAGCAGCCTCCCGGGTCAGGTCACTCATTTCCAGGTCCCCTTCCCTCCCCAAGCAGTCACTTTTAGGCAGCCTTGCATGTTATTTGCAGATTTTGCATCTAAATTGGTGCTGCCAGCAGAGCTCTGACCAACCACCTCATGCGACTGAGGGGGGGACAAGGGGAGTTTCCAGCAGGGGAGGACTGCACACATCTGCTTAGCAGCAGCAAATTCCTGCTCCATAAACAAACAGGGACACATGTTTATCCTTCACTCTATTCACAACACAATAAATATTTCTTCCAAACGAGCAGCTGGTTAGTTAGAGCTTTGTCTCATGCTAGGTTGGAGCTACCAACCATTTGGACAAGAGAGGGTTTTTAAAATACATTTATGATCATGATCTGAGCTCCAAAATGTAGGGAGCTCTCAGGCGGCCCTGAGACAAATCTAAGCATGGGAGATGTTCTGGATGTTCCAGCCCCTGCTTGCCACAGAAAGAGACTGAGGAAGGGCTCACATGGAGAGCTGATGGAGTGCTGGGTGCTGCCAGGCTCTGCAGCAGGCTGGGGCAGCTCCCTCAGCCACACTGGCCACACTGCACTTCAGCAAAACGCTTTCCTCCCTGTCTCCAACTCTTTGCCTTGGTCTGGGGTTTCCAGGCACGCCCTGGTGCACACCAAACCCTTGTGCAGCACTGCAGGGATGAAGCTTTTCCTGTTCCCAAAGAGTGACCAAAGGAAGCATGGGTTTCGACTCCAGAAAGGACTCTCTGCTTTCATTCTCCACCTTTTAACCTGTTGTGGCACAGCTATGAAGCCCAGCAAAAGGCAGGTACTTAGGGGGAAAATTCAGCTACAGCCCTTGGCCCACTGTAGCCTGCAGCTCTATGTGCTCTGCCTCCTGGGCAGGAGGGACATCCGGGCATGGATCAGCACTGGTGTGGACAGCAGGAGAAGGGCAGAGATTGTACGTCTGGACTTGGCACTGCGGAGGCTGCACCTCAAATATTTGGTTCAGTTTTGGGCCCCTCACTCCAAGAAAGACCTTGAGGGGATGGAGCGTGGCCAGAGAAGGGCAAGGAAGCTGTGGAAGGGTCTAGAGCACAAGTCTTGTGATGAGCAGCTGAGGGAGCTGGGGGTGTTGAGCCTGGAGCAAAGGAGGCTCAGGGGAGAACT